TTGGCTTTCCATCCCGGTACTCACACATCAACCTCATCTTCGCAGAGCGTTGAAGATACCCTTGTCCACCGACAACAATCACCTTCTTTCCAAACGAGGACCTTCTTGCCTCTTTCCCTTCCCCTACCATCAACATGTTCACCCGCCATTACTGCTCTTCTCGCCGCCTCGGCCACCCTTGTCTCCAGCGCCAGCATCCCCGCACGCCGTGCCCCCAAGGGCTCTGCCTCCATCACCCCCCACGACCAGTACTCGTCTTCCATCGGCGTTCTTGGCTGCAAGATCAACACCAACCGTGTCGCCTACTGGCCTGGCGCTCCCGGCTGCGACGACCTCTGCATCAAGGTCTCCCACGGCGGCCGCAGCCTCAACCTGCTGCGCATCGACTCCTCGGCCGGCGCCCACGACATCTCCTACGATGCCTGGAACTACCTCGCCTTTGGCTCCTCCGCCACCGACGCCCCCCACATGGGCGGTGGCGTGGACATGGACTACGAGATCGTCCCCATGTCCGAGTGCAAGGATCTCCTCGACGATGGCAAGCTGCCTCTCACCGCCGCCAACAGCATGAACTATGTTTCGGCCTGTATCGCCGACACCAACTCCTGGGCCGGCAAGAACCACGTTCTCTACAACATTGGCAACGCCGTCTGCACCATTGGCCACGACGAGGTCTGCAAGCTCGACCTCGCCGTCAGCAACCAGCCCTCGTGTCCTCACACCCTTGGCGCCGTCGACGCCCTCAAGGACAACGAGGTCAAGAACATTGCCTACGGTACTGGCAAGGTCTCTGTCGCTCTGTGAGCACGGGACCTCTGCAACGCAAGCATGACATGAACTTTTATGACATAGATATCAGGATAAACATACAGGATACAGGATACGGTATACAGGATACTAGGTACAGGACAGGCGTTTTATGATGACAATACACTCTTTACCTGAAAGCTCGGTTCGCGCTTAATGGCGCTTGATCTTAGTGATACATCTTGTAGTGTTTCCACTGATCCCAAAGTTACAAACCGATAAAGCAACAAGCAACCTTGTCGGCGTCGGCCTTCATGATGATTTAACCTTGATCGCTGCTTCGGATGGGGGCTTGGCAGTCCACGCGAACGCATTGTAGCCCATCTTCTGGCGGGGTGTGATGTTGAACATGCCACTTTGATGAGTTAAAGCGAGCGTGTGAAAGAACCACTGTGCGTCAATTGCCTGCTTGTCGTTGAAGCCTGACTTGGAGGCAGCCAATCAATCCATTCTGGCAAATCAGACATTTGAACAATAAAGCATTGCAATTTGCGCGATGGTTGCTGCGATGGTGATTGATTGAAAGGCCCGGCAACTCCAAGAGCTTTGACTGAGGCTTCGGAGTTCGGTTGTTCGGAGTACAGACCGATGACGGTCAGACAACAAAGAATGTTCTTGACATCTTCCACACCACATGTCAGCATTTGGCTGGACCTTTCAAGTTGCAGAAAATGTCGCCGTCCACCGCCTGCTGCGTCCTCGTAGTAGCCAAGGCGTAGTAGGGGTTGTACATCTTGCCACTCGCAAAACTTGTTTCCTTTTGTTTTACGCACCTCATACGTGGAATAATATGGCGAAGGGGCCAGTAGGAAAAAGGGAGAGCTTGCGCGCGGATCAAGATCACCATTGAGGAGGTGGACGAGAGGGCAAGAGCCATGCCATCTGTTCCCTAGCATTGTTAGTAAAGACACTCTGACGGACCGCTGTTTATTGTGGAACAGGCCTCAAAGTGCGATGCCCTCGCGCATCAACGCGCATACACGTGCTCGACCAGTCTAGGAACCGACGCTTGATCGTATTATAACATATGCTACAGTCATTATAATATCTATTGTCACAGAATGAGAGCTCCAGCCACGGCGGCTACCGCTCCGTAGACAAGCCAACCGCCGACGCTCGTGCGACATGGGGCTGCGCTGCCGATGCGCTCGACGAGCTTATTGCCGCGCTCGGTAATGCTCTCCTGAAAGACGGTGGCGTTGTTGGCAGCCCAGTCGGCGCCATCGTTGCCTGGGACTGCATCGCTGCCGGTAAACGCGATAAAGAGGACGTCGTTGTCGTCATGGCCGTTGTCGCCGTTCACGCTGTTGCCAAAGCATAGCGTCGCCAAGGAGATGGAAGCCTCACCCACCATGGCCTCGTCGCCGTCGTCGCCGTTTTGTGTCGCCCCAAATGCCGGAGTACTGCGTTCGTCAGCCGATGGCCGCTCGATACGTCAATCGTCCGAGACTGGTCGTTGCAGACAACGTCATGATGCTCAGCGGCTCAATGCCATGAGCGCTGGGGTCAAAGGTCGGCCAACCCTTCTTGTTCTCCTCGCTTTCGTTGCCAAAGACGACGTAAGGGTGGACGTTGGCGTCGAGGTCGGTCTGGTTGGCGCCGTATCTTTGAAGATCCTCCTGGAAGCTCGTCTGCGACTGCGTATCGCCGGACGACCCACAGCGACCGTCATCAGCGGGCCCGCCCTGGATTCCGTCACAGTCAATGTCCAAATTGACAAGCTCGCCGTTGCGGCCCTGAAGGTACACGATATTGTACTTTTCTAGATAGTCGCCGCAGTAATCAAAGTCGCCGCTGTCGCCGTCTGAGCTGTGGAATCCGGTTGCGAGGGCATTTTTGCATTGTTTCTGGTCGCGAATGTGATTGTAGAAAGACCTGAGGTTGTCGGGGATGTCGCGGGCGATGACCGTGGACAAAGCCGCTGTCGCGACCAGAGTTTTGGCGAGGATCATTTGACCACGAGAGGTGTTTGGAATGAACGAAAGACTGGGTTGCTTGGCAGACGAAAGGTGCAATGGTCAGAGAAACGGACGAATGAAAGGAACGACAAAGTAGGACAAGATGATCGCTTGCTTAGGAACAGGATGCGAACATCAGTGCGACGAGGCCAATGGCGACGTTCAGGAATCGAGAGCACAAGCAACAGACAGAAGGGCATTGTTTTAAGTACGAAGGGCAGAGGCTCGGCTGGTGCCGAGTACGCACAGCTAATACCGATCGGGCGCTTCGAGTAGGGGTGACCTGTGGCAGTCCCGTCTCCTCATCCAGGGGCAGGGGCTCGACAGTCTTGAGTGGTCGCTTATTGTCCGTGATTCGCGCTGTGACAGTAAATACGGGTGGGCGCGGCGGCCAGGCCCGGCGCTAGGGTCTAGGGGAGAAGCAATGGCCATCTCGAAGCGTATTGGGGGGATCACTGATGACGCCCCAGCCAGACAGGGGGTCTGTTAAGGATGCTGGCACCACCACGTTCAGTCAGCTTCTTGATGAAAAGGACGTATTGAAAATAATGCGGAGTGAATGTGAATCTCTTCCATCGATGGTTCACCATAAATCGACACTTGATCTGCCTATTTTAAGATAAGTGGCTTGAGAAACTCTAGACCCACTCCGGTCGTATCATCTACTTCATCTTTTTCCCCTGGTCTCGGGCAGGCCCCCCTGATCTCGGGAAGGCCCTTCTGTTGACTGCGGGTCCGTCATCAATGGGGGGACCTAGGAACCTTGCCTATCTGGATGGGTACTGTAGATGCGTGGTTGTAATTAAAGAGCACGTCTTGAAGTATAGTTTGAAGATCCTTCCCATATGATCTTTCCGGAATTTCGTATTCTCTGGGGTAACACGCTGCTGGCCTAAGGTAGGGCGCGCTACAAGCGATCGACGAAACCTTGAGATTGCCGGAACTCTCTTCATCCTCAATTCCTACGTTAAGCATTTCTAGAGCCCACTGGCTTTGACTTTCGACGCAACACTGCCGATGCAACGAAGATCCACTCTCTAAAGCACTACCTCATTTCGACAACGCGACAATCCCTTGACCATACGCCCGCTCGTCTCAACGATGATGTGGTCCAGCTTTCTAAATCTCACTTGAATTTTTATCACATACCTACCGGCCAGGACTCGATGCATCTTGATGTGGCTGTTCTTGACCGTGTCGAATATTCTCTACCAATATAATATACATTTGACGCGCGGCCCGTGACTGGGCACTACATAGGTAAGAATCTGCGGGAATCGTATCACAACTGCGGTAGGCAGAAACACGTGCTCAGAAGTTTACACTGCTCGTGCCTGAGCATGTTTGTCGGAAACTGTAGGCAAACGGAATAGACTGGTTTGAAATAATGAGGCACACTCGCCAGGCGATAGGTCCGCAGCTCTGGCTGTGCATTGTGCTCATCAGTGGAGCCTGAATGTCCCACTGCTTGCTTGAACAGCATCTAAGCAGCGTGATACCGTGGACGCAGCACCTAGCTTGTAAACTTGGCCACGATGGGAGTACTTCCCTTGTGAAAGGGGGGTAGAAGAAGGGCGCCAACCTACGCTGGAGGTGTCGACGTCGCCGCATTGCTGCCGCTGGGCGACAAAATCCGGGACGCCGATCCATCGCTTGAGTGATTCACATGAAAGCAAGCGCCAGGCCATAATGTTAATGGGGTGTGGATTCCTGTTCGGCAGGTAGTTCATAAGGGAACGTGGAAACAACTACTTTGCTGCATTCGTGAGTGATACACACAAACCTGCACGAATGGGTACTTGCGGCAAGGCTCGATCACTAAGGGGCCACCTATTGGTGATGAGAAAGCTTGCGAGTACAGCCAAATCTTGGTTAGGTTGTCGAATATAACGGTCATCTGTAATTTGCCCTGTCTTCTCCGCGATCTGCTTGGACGACGGCTTCCTTGAACCTCCGATGTCCCCACGTATTTTTCTAGGCATCATTTTTTTTTCACTCCTTAGACTGCTGTATAGAACCCACTTCTCATGTCTTCCGAAGCGCAGTGCCTCAATATTGATCTGGCAACATGATCGAGCAGTCTGAAATGACAGAGTTTTCCGTTCCACTCCCTTCAAACGAGCTTACGACTGCGCATATGATAGTCGCTCAATGGCCGCCTGTGAATCAGACCATGTAACATATGCCTGGTGCTCATTACTAGGTCATGCTTGAGGCTTCAAAGGTCGAAGTTCGTCGATCTTTCGATGAATGACAATATATGAAGACTTAAATCGTTGCCTACATATGGCAGCGCTGGCTCCAAGCCTTCAAGAACCAAGCGAAGACCTGTCGACTACATCCACGACCGCCAGGCTGATGGCTTATGGACAACCTCTGATGTACTCTGAAGTATCATTCACCTTGGCCTCAGCCCACTCACCTCCCCGGAGAAACACCCGGAGGAAGTCGACCGTACTCAATTAGCGCAAGACTGTGACGGAAAGGTTTGTAGGCACAGTTTTCAGGGGGCCAGCCCTGTGACTGGCATGGGTTGCGGCGCATCATGGGGAGATCATCACTCCAGGATAAGGATGAAGTCGCCACTGAAAACCTCCCGTAGAGAACAGCAGTTCGAGTTATCTGCGGCGGTGACTGCGGTAGATGAGGCTGTGTCACGTCAACATTCATCTTCCCTCTAATGCTTGGGATGTTCGATCTCAAGTACGTCTAAATTGCCTGTAGAGAGGGGTAAACCAAACAATAGGCGGGCCCAACCGATATATCGAAGTACCTAGGGATGGTTTACCTGCGTATCCATTCAATATGGGAGCGTTATCTTCCCTAGCCTGGTGGCACCCCTCAGAATGTTGAAAAGACGTAGTTAGACAAAAGACTTGAAAGTGGCTGAATAAATCTTCTTCGAGGTCGGTTACACTGGTCGGAAAAGCCTGGGCGAACACAAATAGGTTTCATTAGCTTCTAGAGCGATACTATCGTGCACGTCATGTTTCTAGCAATGCAAGTGTTCAACATTTGACTATAAATCAAGTTATACAAATGGTTGACAAACATCATCGCTCAATGTTGACACACAGTCTGCTTCGGTGCCAGGTAGCCTTTTAGTCATGGCGTCCACCCTGCCAATTGTTTCCTGGCCTGTTGTGGTGCTTCCAGGGCTTGTCGCCCCTCCACGGCTTGTTGCCATCCCAGGGCTTGTTGCCGTCCCAAATCTTCCCCGGCTTGTGCGGCTTCTCGGGCTTTCTGGGCTTGCCTGTCTGATCCGAAGCACAAGGGCTGGGGGGATCACAACTGAGGCTGCGGGTAGATAGACTCCTCGATTGCACTGGAGTGCTCCGGGATAGGGGGGGATGGGCCCGCCAGTGGGTCCGGCAGTAGGGCCAGCGATCTCTGAGCTTGTGACGGTCAGAGTAGCAAATGTGGTGGTCGTCTCGCAGTCCGGGGGGCTGTGGCCCTTGGGTGGTGTCCAAAAGCTAGCTTGGACGGTGGACGCAGCGAGGATAGAAAGCAGGACTGCTGATTTGTAGTTGCCCATTGTGAAGATAACAGTGATTGTGTCCCTTCGCGCAGGCTGCTTGAGTCGGCTTGTAAGACACTGGTGAGAGGAATACGAATTGATTTGAAGTAATGGGGCAGAAGTAAAATAGTCACTTTGGTTTTGTTTCTGAGGCGCAGTCGATGAGTACACCATCAATCGAGAAGCGAAGCCATCATTATATACGAGCCTCGATCCTGAAGGCTGCTTCAATCACTTTCTTAGCCCTGACTTTTGCAACTAGTTAGCAGGTTACGTGAAGGGGACATGTGTGAGAAACTGAATTAACGATTGGCCATCTCCACCCATCACGTTAGGTCTGGTCGATAGGTTTTGTCGATCCCCCCGCCGCCTGTGCCCTGAGCCATTGATGCATCAGACGCTGTGATCTTAGAATAGCATAAAATCACCAGACATAGGAGAATACTCAGATCGCACCTGGAACAGCCAATCCACACGATTTCTTGCATCAGCTCTATTAGATAGCTTCAGGGGTTCGACGCCACACCCCGCTGAGAAGGTTGCGCCTGGACCCGACAGCACGATGACGCTTATAGGCAGAGGTGAGTATGTGGCGTTGATGAGGATGAATCCCCATGTTTTATGACGCTCATCATTAATTTGAGTACTACGTAGGATCAATCCTCCCGTTGAGGGAGGCAATGTTCTTTTTTAATGGTTGTGTAGGATTCTGAGTGGGGTGCTTTTCTCAGCCTGCTGCGATGATCCTCGATGGTCACTAAGGAACCTTTGTGCTCGTGCAGCTTCGACAGTGCTCAGGCCCGTCCCGCTTGCAGAATGGTACCTCGGCAATTAACGATCTGCCTTCAAATGGCTTCGACCATCGCCTGTGACTACCATATCACATGTATTCGAGGCTTACAGTATTGTAAATTGACACTCATATCGTGGCTTGTTCATCTATCGTCTCAGGATGCTCAAATTCTTGCTCCTTGTGCCATTTACCTGAGCTCAAGCATGTTGCTGAGGATGCAACTCTCGGGATTCCCACCCCATTGAGTCGGAGTGCGAGCAGCGGCAGCACCCTCTCCCTCAGGTGAACCATCAACCATCGCGTATGATCCAGTGGCAACTGTTGTTCAGATATGAAGTCAAATTTTGCAAGGCGATTCAATGATTCGCTGCGAAGATCTGATTCTTAGTCGTTCCAGTTGATGCATTGTGTCGGCTTCCATTGATGAAGGATGCGCAACATGACGCGAGAGGTGGGGGCGGCATCGGCCGCCTTGGCGCCCGAAACTCCATTAATAGAACTGCCTTATTCGGTAATCTTGCCAACTGGCATTGGCTGGGTGGTAAGGGCGTGGTGGGTGAGCTTACGAAAACGTCTGATACAGACATTATTGTCGACCTGGTCGATCCTTGGGTTGAGATAAAGAAGAATGCTTGTCATTCTAGATCCGAGGGACTAAGAGCGATCTATCCATCGTTGGCCTGTACTTTTGGGAACGTTGATTTCTGCCGAAAACAGATGGCATCCTCGTATCGAGGTGCACCCTCAGTACTTGCTGTGGGATGCACGAAGACAGCATTCAGGTTTTACCTATAGGATTTCGGGAGCCTATTTGCAATATCGTCACTTCTGGGTTCGTGAACGATTTGTTTCTATAGGTCTAGACGATGCTGTGGCCAATACAGCGGCGTATGCCTATCTCCCAAGGCGGATTTTATCAAGACAGCACACTCCTCGACGACAGACCATTGGCTTTATTGTTCAATCTGAGCAGTAGCAGCGACAACATAATTTTCCAAATCGACCAGAATTGCCATGTCCACACTTTAATTCTGGAGTTTGCCTAGCTGCAACACACGGTCGTCTCATCGATGCCTGTTGCTTTCTCTTCAGCCCCGCCGCCGCCACCAACCTGCACTTTGATGACTAGCCAGTCACAGAGAAACTTGCCTAACCCTGCTCCGATGATGATGGAGATAATGATATATCCATTGAAGTACATGGCGAGAAGCATGACAATGTACGCAACACCAAAGGTCACAGCGTGGATCACGGCTCTCGCGACCTGCTGTAGTGGAGATGCTCTGAATGTGAGCATGCGCGGCGTCATGATGGCGACTGAGTCTTGTGGAGCACAGCAGCCGCTGCTCTCTCTTGGGCCTTTGTGATCGGTTGCCAAATACGCAGCGTGACGTTGTACCTGATGGATAATCATCCCGTCGTATTCTTTGCCCAGTCGCCGAAGGCATTCTAGTACCACGACGAGAAGGGCGACACCGATACAAGATGCGGCCATCATTCCATTGTTCTCGATCTGCCAGGATTCGGCGAGGAAACCTGTGGCGAAAACTGTCAGAGAATGGAGTTGGCAGCCGTAGGATGCGAAGGGCGTTCACTTACAAGCGTCAACAATGTCCCAGTTCCATAGCATCTAAAATCCTCATGTCAATACGCCAGTGTTCGAATGTGGGAGCAGTGACAGGCAGAAGGCAATACCGAGACCTTACAAGCCGAGCCTTCCGCGGTGCCGTGATTCATGATGGACGGTGTTTATGGCGTTAATCTTGTGGCCTAGAAGATTTGACATCTGCGATCGAGACTTAAATTCTAGGACCGTAGTCAAATACAAGATGAAGGCCTAAGGTCGCGGGAGAAAAAGTCGAGATTCCACAAAGAAGTTTACCCTCTCTTGGAAGAGCTGGTGAACGGCCTGGCCTATATCAAGCCACTCACCTTCCGTCGGCAGATTTCCCACTTGCCGACCCGGCATCGTAACAGTGGCGTTACCAAGCATAAAAACCTTCTCAACACTAGTTATTCGGAGCGCAAAACAAGCTTGACGGGCAGGCAATGGAACACTGAAAGTAGACGAAGAAAAAGTTATCGCTGAATACCAAGCCGTGGGGCCAGCGCGCGCCAATGGAAACTTGCTCAATAGAGCTCATTTTGGACCCGCGGCCAGGGATGACGGATGATCGGCGCTCAACAACGTGGATATCTTTCAATCACAATTCACGGCATTGGCTCGTTTGACGATGGCACATAGCACACATGGCATGTTCCGGATGTCGGGCCCGCCGAATGCTTGGGATTCGGGTTCCAAACGCGCCACTGACCCGTCGAGCGGTACTTTGAAGATGAAAGTTGGACCGTTTCCCTTGTCAATATGGCAAGAAGGGGCTGGGAAACTTGCTCGTGACTCGAGTCATGCCACACCTTGAGCAAGCCATGTATCATTTTGCCTCGATCTCGGCGATCCACCAACTTGCTCACCAAGTCCACCCCCGGCGAAACCGCCCATAGAGTAGGGTACACAGACTGCAGCATGAAAGGCTCTTCAGTTTTCAATAGCGTACTTGAACCGGTCATGTAGGCCTGGGCCTGTGGCGAGGATATCCGACTGTCTCTTTGTGCATATATGCAGCCGAACTTTGTCGTAAGTCGGCCGGACTGACGTTTACTTCAACGATTGACGCCATCTCCTGTGCGTCTTAAGGTAGCAGAGTCTCCCGACTGCACCATTTGTTCCTGCTTTTGCTTTCGGACAGAACAGATCGATAACGAAAGGCCGTCATCAGAGACAACAAGGAATCATGGAGTCCTCATCACAGCTGGTGGCTCGCCAAGGCTACCAGTCTCAGAACATTAGCGAAGGATCTCTGGTCAACTATTGGGGCTACGCGGTTCGGGTTCTGCCCTGCGCAAACGATCCTGGAACATGCGAGTACTTTGAAGTTGTCTATGGCTCTCACGCCGTCGGTATGAAGTACACGGGGGTGCTTTGGGCCACGTTGGGCGGCATTCTCATTATCCTCGCTGTCGGTCGCCATTTCTGGGCGTCACCCAAAGCCGCCGAAAGTATGCCAGGCGTTGCCGACGACGAGAAGATCAAAACACCTCCGTCCTCCTTCATCCGGTTGGCAAGGTCTATATCTGCGATGCGGCGCCGGCGTCTTCTTCCTGATTCAATCAGGTTCTTATTTGGGAGGACCACTCGACTGCAGGTGCTTGTCCTTGTTGTTCTGACCGGCTATCTCGCACTTTTCAGCTTCATGGGAATTTCATTACCAGACATGGAGAACGTCCGTTCTAGGGCTCATCCGGGGCCTGTTCTCAGGACACGATCCAGCGTGGGTGCATGGTCTGATCGAGTCGGCACTCTCGCGTACGCCTTGACGCCATTTTCAATTTTACTATCAAGTCGCGAGTCGATTCTCTCGATTCTCACAGGAATTCCATACCAGAGCTTCAACTTTCTTCACAGGTGGCTCGGATATATCATTTTCGCGCAGTCTCTAGCGCACACCATCGGCTGGACCGTTATTGAGGCGGTCTTGTACCAACCTCAGCCTGCTGTCGCTAACAAATGGATCAAGCAGCTATATATGATCTGGGGCTGTGTCGCCATGATCCTGATTTTCATCATGGTTGCTCTGAGTACTCCATGGGGTATCCGCCTCACAGGCTACGAGTTCTTCCGAAAGTCGCACTACGTGCTTGCCATGGTGTATATAGGTGCCTGCTGGGGCCATTGGCAACCTTTGAAGGTCTTCAGTATGTTTTGCGGCTGCACAGGCCTTCTTTCAAGGATGATTGCTGACAACATTACCTTACCTGCAGTGGTACCCGGCCTCGCCATCTGGCTCTTCGACCGTTTTGCCCGCCTCGCTCGGTCTGCCCTCGTCCACTACCAGTACCTCCCCAACGGAACTATGGGCTTCAAAGCCGCTCAAGCTGCGCTCTCCATCTTCCCTGACGAAGAGAACGGCGACATTGTGCGCCTCGATTTCAGACACTCGCAAAGTCCGTGGCAGCCGGGTCAGCACTTCTACCTCTGTTTCTCCGAATGCTCCATCTGGCAGTCTCACCCCTTCACGCCCCTCAGCCTCGCTGTAGACCGAAACGGCACCGTCGAACACGCTTACATATTCCGCGCCAAGAAAGGCGAGACCAAGAAGATTGCCAGCCTCGCTGCTCGGAAGCTTGCCGTGCAGGATGGGTCTGCCAAGACGACGCCTGTGATCCTTTCTGGCGCGTACGGCGAGTCCCTCACCGAGAACCTAACGCCCGAAGTCAACGTCCTATGCGTTGCTGGCGGGACGGGCATCTCCTATGTGCTTCCCGTTCTGTTGCACCTCGCCCAACAACCAGGCATTCCTGACAGAAAGATTGAGCTTGTCTGGGCGGTTCGCCGCCGCCAAGACGTGCAGTGGGTGCGGCCTGAATTAGAAGTCCTTCTCGCGGCGGCGAAGTCGCATGGTATCCAGATCCACGTCCGCGTGACGAGGCAAGGAGAGGCAGATCTGGGGTCTGAAGGCTTCAGCCCAAAAGCAGAGAAGCAGGTGGCTGATGCGATCTCATCGTCATCTTCGTCGTCTTCGCGAAACAGCGCTTCGCTCGATCTGCAAATGACTGGAACTCACCCTGATTTGGATACCATTGTGCCAGCCTTTGTGGAGGGAACAATTCGCGGGCGGACGATTGTCTTTGCCAGCGGGCCTGGTTCCATGATCTCTCAGTTGCGAACTGTGGTGGCGTCCTGCAACTCGGGAAGCAAGGTCTGGAGGGGAGATGCGAGATTTGACGTTGCTCTTGAGTGCGATGATAGACTGGAGTGGTAGTCAGTTTACTAAGAGAAAAGTCACCATTTCGCGTTGAACACAAGACACTAGGACAGGATCTTCTGCTCTGTCAGCAATGCCAGCAGGACCCCCCTGTTGTCCAACGTTGCCGTGGCGCAAGATCTAGTATATTTTAGGCTGCCTGCATCACCGTCCAGGCTCGATGAATACCGCAGCTGAACAGCTCTCCCAGGGGTCTGAATGCTTAGCCTGACGCTCCTCACCCTTGATTCGCCGTCATGGCGAATGGCTTGAAGATGGCTAGGCATCACCCTGCACCTCCATGCAGCCACCAGAGGCTCGGCCATCACAGTATGCCTCACGTAGGCTGTCAGCGGGGGAACAGGTATCCGTACGACCAGAGCGCAATCATCTCTGGCGGCAATGTCTGCTGATACCAGCCCAGTGGGGATGCGTGCCCCTCATTGACACTGCGTACTTATTCCGACAAGGCGCCAGGGGTGTTTTGAAAATCGCCTGCCAGAATGACTCGTCTTTTGGAATCTACTTGCCCTCACGATCACCTCACATTGACGAGCCAGCATATTGCCGAGGAGCGTTATTCGATGGATCACAACTCTGCGCCTTCGGGTCATCAATACCCTCCGCCCCCCTCCCAGTCCTTACCGCCAGGTTGACCATCAGGGAGCAGGACAATCACCGCTTCATGGCCTGCACGATGCTTCACTCGGTAGGGCCAATTCCGTTCCATCGTCAATTCACCAACCCATGGTTTCCCAGGACAGCTTTGGAAGAGGGCTGTCTCCTGCGGCTCCTCAACAAGCCCACTCGTATTTCCCACCCCCGCCGGCTTCGTACTCGGCCCCTCAAGGATCAACATCGCTGCCATTGCCCGGTCACGCGCCAGCAGCTCTGAGTGACGCGCCTAGTCATCATGAATACGCTCAGCCTGCTCAAACATGGCGGCCATCGGCCCAATGGCAATCTCCTACTCATCAACAATATCAACAGACCGACCACGGATCATACGGACAGCATGGGTATAGCCAACCCCCACAGCAACAGCAGCAACAACAGCCGCCACAGCGACGGCCAAATCAACAGCGAATGTCCCTGTCCTCGTTTTCTGGGAAGAAAACAACAGCATGGCTGAAGAAGAACGTTTCGCCCCACCTGACAGAAGTCGCAAAGAGCTCGCTAGTTAAGGGAAGCATCAAGGAGCTGGAAAACGTGTACACAGCGGCCAAGGGCATGAGTGCGAGATACTCGAGCCCTCCCTCATCGAACTATAACATATCGACGATTAACCCCCCCAATGCAGCCAACCAAACCCCTCAGCCGTGGAGCCCTGCCCATGTCGGGGATCCTATGCAGCAACAGCAGCAGCCGCAAGATTATAGTGCTTCAACTGTTCCCCTAAATGTCCAACATCAGTCGACTGCGGCTACGTATAGCCCTGCAGCCCCTCAGAGCATAGGCCAAGCCAGTCATCACCAGCAGCCGGCGCTGACACCATTTAGCCCACTGTCTGAGCAACAGCCTTCACCAGCAGTATATACCTTGCCACTTCAGCATCATTCGGTGCCCGCCACTCACCCGTCCACGCACGGCTCTGCCACTCAACAACACCATGAAATCCCATTTATCCCGTCGCCAGGTCAACATCACACGTCAATCCCTACATACACTTCACCAAGCCCAAAGTTATCAGTCTCGCCATTAAGCGGTTCACCTGCTCAGCGGTACCAGACCACCCCCTCCAGCCCGCCGATCCAGCATCAATCGGACTCATCCGCGACAGTGTCTCCATCCCACAATCCAGCCACCAGCAGTCCATCAGCTTCAAGTCCCCCAGCTCCAATCGCCCGAAAACCCGTCGGTGCCGTTCAACGCCAGGACGCTGACCGACGGCCTATCTCCCAGGTAGCATCTCCTGTCACACCGATCCTTCCAGCCGAGGCTGCGGACCGATCTCAAGGTTACATTCTCTCCATCGACCACGAGAGAAAGAAGGCGATACGTTTCATTCCCTGCCCTGACGGCAACGATCGGTATGTTGTCGAAGATCTCCCTGGCTTTGTGCCAAGTGAGGCCGCTGCGGAATTGCCGCCTTCTCCTCATGTTCCAGGATGCAAGCCACTGCACGTCGACGCTTCCGCAATTAACCAAGAGCCTGTCGAGCTTTATGCGCCGCCGTCGGTCCCCGTGCCAGCGCCAATCTTGCCAAAAGAACCAGCAGCAACATCTGCATCGGCCACGCATCCAGTAGCAGTGCTATCTCCAGCTACCGCTATCGTACCAGCACCACCGCCAGCAGTCCAAGACTCATCACCTACCGTAGTTTCGATACCAGCCCCGGCGTCATATCAAGAGTCGGTACCTCTGCCTATCACAGCGCCAATCCCAAAGCCAGCTTCTGCATTACCATCCCTGCCGCAGGCCTACGACGCTTCAGCCCCGAGTATCGCCCATCGAGAGCCACTTTGGGCTCCTCAGTTATCAACCACCCAACCTTACTCCCTCCCAGTCTCGAACCCCAGCGACAGTAGCCTGATCCCCCAACCGCTGTTTGGTGCAGCATATTCCCACGGGGCCGTGAGACTGTCGGAGCCTCTGGCGTCGGCTCCTCCGCCGATTCCAGAGAAGAAAAGTTTCATGTCGAAGCTCATTTCAGCTGTGTCCCAAATCCAGCTGGCGGACCAACCTGCGTCTATAACGTCCCAAGGATATAGCATGGAGATTGAGGACCCTACGTATGAGCCCCTCGCATTTGCGACGCCGGTCACTGCAACGAACACCCCAAGCTCACCTCTTCGCGTCTGCCCCCAGACTCGTGTTGTCAACTACCAAACAACCTGGCATCATCTCAGAGGCTGTGCCGATGTCGGCATCTGCAGTTGGTGCTTCAACAAATAAATTGGTTCTTCACAGTTAACCCACGAATTCGACAGTGAGATTAAGTCCGGGTTGACTTGCCGCTTCAACGTCCCCCGGATTACCAAGAGCCTCTGGCCGGATGCTAAGCAGACAGCAAATTTGGGATTATTGCGGGATTACATGCTCCGTCACGCCTCTGTTCCTGCCTGTACTAAGGCTGCAGGGGCTGTCGGCACGGATGGGGTCAAATGGTTTGGTCTGGCCGCTGGCGAGCTCGGCATGGTGGCCTGCGAGGCCTGTCATGAAGACATCGTTCTTAGCACGACGTTTTCCGGCCGCTTCTGTCCTCTGAAGCAAGTCCAGGGCGCGTCGGAGCGATGGACCTGCACCATCAGCTACTCCTACGTCAGCCGCGCTTTACAGATATTATCGAGGCGAAGAGACCAAGACACCGCTTGGGTGGAATTCGTCGAAGCAGCGAGGAAGCGCATGGCACTACCGACTTGCGAGGGTAAAGAAATTAACGCTATACAGTGTAACTGGTATCGCCCAAGGCAATCAGTAGCAAACCTCGACTTTTGCGAGACATGCTACCTAGATCAGCTCGCCATGACACCCTACGCCGACGATTTTGCGGACACGGCAGAAGGCGTTGAAGAAAAACTCTGCATGCGCGCCTGTGACCTGCAACTCATCAACCTCGGCGAATGTGTCTACCTGGCAAGAACCAAGGGCCTCCGTGTTCAGGTCATCCTCCAGGCAGCTGCCAAGATTGCTTCGAGCCCGCGCTGCTTCAAGGGCATGGGAATCACCAATGGCAAGTTTTATAACTTCAAGAGCGGCAGCGCGGCAAATTTTGGCGTGTGTGAGGCATGCCATGCAAGTATCCTCGTGCAGCACGGCGTCGAGGCCTTTTTTGGGTCCGAGCCACAGCTTGTCGCCGGTACAGCGTGGTGTGCTTTCAACCCCAGCGTAGCACGCTTCAATGGCCTCGTCGATCATTGGCAGCAAGCCTCGGAGACAGGCTACTGGGGTGCCTACGAGACGTGGGTGAAGAAGTACGCCGCGCTGCCGGTCTGTCCGAACTTCAATTTGGCGGCGAAAAGCAAGTGGTATGGCTGGCAGGACTGCACCATATGCCCAGAATGCTACGAAACAGCTGTCGAAGGAACCTCTCTGGCTACCAGCATGGAGCTGCACGACGTTGTCATCGAGGGGGAGACGCTTTGTTGCATGTACTCAGATCGCATGAGGGGCAAGTACAAAGAAGCCTGCGAGGCGGGAGACGCGACGGAGCTGCGTGCGTTTTGCCGAGAGCGCTGGGAGACTTATCAGCAGACCGTGCCGAGGTTCAAGATGATCTATGAAACGCAAAGCATGCAGTCAGCAATGGCCATGTCGAACATGATGCTCAGTATGTCATACCAACATGCGAATGCCATGAGCGACTGGGTCACTCCCTCTCGTTATGAGTACGGAAACAGCAGTGTCGGATACCATTCGTCGCAGTATGGGGTCGACAGCGCAGAGGCGTGGAACAAAGGTCAGGAAGGGTTTGCGCAGGCGAGGGGAGGCGTTGCCGAAGCAAGCTATCTCAAGGACGTATGGCAGGCTGTGGAGTAGTTTCGTGCTGTCTGTAGTGAAGGTTAAAGTGGAAAGCGTCCGCAAGTTTATGAGCCTGAGGAAGCCCGACCATATGTACCTTTGCAGGCTAACTCAATGATCATTTACAATCAAAGCTGATCACACTGGTACATATGCATTTTATGATGTAATATAAATATCTTTAATTGTTGCCGTATCGATATCCCTCGGGTAGTCTACTTTGGTAGTGTACGGGTTGTAGACATGGCCAGTAGCTTCATTTTCAACCAACAGCTTCCTGTTCTCCTTGCGCAAGAGCCACCCCAGAATCTTCACCAAGACGATTGTGCAAGCCCCGAAGCTCATCGTCAACATCATGGCCATCGTATACCTAGGTACGCGCGGATCGATGAAGAAATAAGGCGAGATGATGTTACCGATGGGGCTATGATGTTCACAATAGCATCAGCAGCAGCGCGCTTTTCCGGCGTCAGCGAAAGCGTTGAGACAGTCCATGTATAAACCAAGCCATTCGCAGAGAAAAAGCTGGTAGTGTACAGTAATAACGCGTCGTAGCGAGCAGGAGCGTTGATACTCGAAACAGACATGACAAATCCAACAATGGCCATAGGGAGGTTGGCGCTGATATGGTAGTCTCGATTCTAATGACGGTTGGAGCTGAAAGCTACGACGAAAGACATAATAGAACCGACGATACAAGGGGTTGCCGCCATAAGTAGAGAATCCGCGCGTGAGCTGATGCCGAAACCAGTGACGATGTTGTGGAAGAAATTATTAAAGCCGTAGCTCGAGATCATGCAAATATTGGTGACGACCTGAAAACATCTTCAGCTACAAACTCATGCAAGGGAAATAAGAAGAAGCAGGGACGACTCACGAAGACCCAAGTCCTGTAGTCAGGGACGGCAAGTTTCAGGCCATTCCGAACGGTCTGCTTCTCCTCAGCAGTCGATACTCGGTCGGTAGCCATGCAGACTGCCGCAAGATGACGAAGTCCTTCAAATATGCTCCACTTGGCAGCGGAACCTGTCTTGGAGGAGGATAGTCTGGCAACATGAAAAAGGCGAGCAGCCCAAGAGCGTTAACGATGGCGCCTTCCAGCCGCGTAGACCAGAGAAAACGCCAGTAGCGATGAGACCGAAAGCGGCTTGGGCAAGGACCAATCCAGAATATAGAATGGCCGTACGCAGGACAAATTCAGAACAGGTGTAACAGCCAGTCCTGAGGTAGACGACCTAAATATTTTCAGCTTGGATACCTTTAGAAATTCGTGCTTGGGACTATTGTGCTTCCATTAGGGAAGAGATGAGCTTCGGAGATGCCCTGTACGAACCTAACGGCAATAAGCGAGCTAAAGCTTTTGGTCGTAGCTGTTGTAGCAGAGACTCCGGACCAAACCAGTGCGCAGCACGATAGGTAGATGCATGAGTAGACCCTAGTTATCAACATCTTTGATGGCAGTCGTGCAACCATGTAACTAGAACACATCATTTAGCAGCGTAGTCCGTATTGTAAAGTAAATAAACTTACCCTGCTTTTAGGACAGCTACGGCAGTATTGTGGTGGCTGCCGTTGATTCCGAGATCCTCTTCGAAGGTATTCAACCTGGCCAGTCTAAGATTCAAATCGGTCCCGTAAGCTCGCACGAGGGCCTGAGGGCCTTGAGACTCCTCACTCCTCACGCAATGGACCACGAGCTTCGATGACCGCTGTGATCATCAACTGCATTATATATCATATATTCAAATGTAATTAGCCCCTGGTGCTCCGCCCTACTGCTTGTTTTTCTTTTCCACTTCCCACGAGAACAGCAAGAAGACCGTCGGTCATTCGACCACTGTGAAATCCGGCTCGCTTATGAAAATCCTTGGTCCTATTACCATCAAGATAATTTATCACTGGCATGTCACTCACTCGCCGGGGCCGTCGCCGTGCTTGCCGCATTGGCGCAGCCAAGTGGTCTTGCTCCAAGACTTGAGGCCCCTTTGGTTTTGCTTATGGCCAAGGATGCTAAGACACAAAAAGCTTCGTGTCAGGATGATTGTCTTCTTTCGCAAGCGCACTGCCCCTTGTTCCTCCGGCAGGCTGGTGCGTTGAATTGATAGATGGCAATCAATCTTTGGAAAGACCGAGATACATGTCAGCCATACCACTAGAGATGATCTGACACCAGCGGTTGAAGTCGGAGCTGTGGAAAGGCATATGGATCACTGGCAACTGATGAACACCTGAATCTATACTTGTAACTGATGCACAGATACGAAAGTCCGGAGTTGCATGTCTGGTCATTCAGATCCAACTCGTGCTAATTAATATGTTGGTACCGTCGAGTGCGCAGTTTGATGGAAACTGATCGTTTGGAAGAAGTAAGTAACATCGGATACTTCAAAATACCTGCCCAACCCGTGGAGGACGACCCACCACCAATCGCTGGCGTCAAACTTTGTTCTCAACAGCATCACTCAAGAGAAAGGCATTATCGCTCCCCTGCCAGAAAGTGAACTGGGAGGAAAATCACTCACTCAAGCCCAGCCTCAGTTACATCGCGGCTTGAGACCATCTCGTACGCAAACATTGTCTCAACATGACTCTAGATGCCACCCCCAAACCCTGTGCATCCTGCACTGCCGCCAAACCAGCCAGACTACAATGAAAAGCAAACCAGCGTCAGCATCCATCCCTCAATCGCGGGCAATACATTCGACGGGCAGACAACCGCCGGAAGAGAGAACTTACCCCGACACATCCCGCGGAGCACATGCCCAGCGTCTCGCTCCCGCACCCGCTGTGACCGCCGCACGTCCCCGACGCGCAGCTCCCCACCGACCCGGGCCCAGTGTATACTTCTCCTGGCGGCGTCGCGTACATGGCTGCCGTCGTCGTCGCAGCGGCAATACTGACCCAGGGACCCGCAAGCGGCACCCTCACGCCCCACTTCAGAGCCGTGTCCTCACGTTGCCCCATGCGTGGCTCTCCTGTGGGGAGAGGTTTTGTGGCCTTCTTGCGGGCCTTGACCTCATACTCATCGATGCCGTTGCGGAAGAGCATTCGCTGCATGCGCGTCGTGGCACTGCGGGACTTGGTCTCGACAGTGTGGACGGCATTGTGGGTGGAGATGTGCGCTGACGGATTGCTTGGCGGCAAGGGGTGCTTTGAGGAGTTGCCAGATGCATGGTACGACTCCAAAACTAACGAATCGTGTCAGAAAATATGGTAGAAAGCGCCAGGAACTAGCCTCGTGACGAGACCGAAGACCGGATATCTGATGCTTACACTTCTCTTCCTTCGAACTAGCAAACATCTTGGTAATTCTTGGGATGGATTGCATGCGCACGGCTAGAGCTTGTCAGGCTTTCCATCCCTACAACCTTGAACAGAAAACGGAAAGGGTAGACAAACTCTCGCAATACCAGCAACGGCATTCCGCATACACCTCATTGTACTTCTTCTCGTACGTTTTAGACGTCCACTCAAAAGATACACCGAGCTTCTCTTCGTCAACCTTGTCGTTATGGTCCACAAAGTTTCGAGTCATCGATACTGAGTACTCGTAGTACGCTTTCGGACTGAGCTGGTGGGTGTGCCACGCGAGGTCGACATCCAACGTAGGAACAGCCGCCTCGCCTGGGTTCGCGGCCATGATTTCGAAGAAGCGTTCGTACTTGGTCACATTCTTCAGCATGCTTTGCTCTGCCGTCGGCAGATGAAGCCAGTTCAACTGAGGGCGAAGGTCAGTACACTACTAGTTGACAAAAGACACACCAGAAGACCCACTGTAACCATCTTTTCTGTGAACAAGCTCTGTCTTGTGACGCACCCAGTCAAGTCAATCGAAAAAGGCGAGGCATTTTGCCAATACCTTGACATCATTCTCCTTGTCTGCTGCCTTGCCTCCAAGCTCAATCTGAATTCTGTGGCTTTCTTCAAGCCGTGTTTGTCCTGGACATGCTTGAGTTTTGACGAGTCGGCGAATTTACCGGTATAAGTTTCGACGATATCCTTTACGGCGAGCATGGTGGGTATCTTATCATTCTTAGGGTCCATCATGCCGAGAACTTCGATGAGAAGGCCACGACAAGCCAGTCGAGACGGAAATAGTTGATCGTGCTCGTCTTTCTCGTCGTTCTGAATCATAGCAGGGACCCCCGTCTTCAGATCAAGAATAGTTCCCGGCATTGCTGAGCCGCTTTTGGTCGCGTTTTGAATGTCTTTAAGCAGCTTGGTGACGCGAAGGCTGTCGTGCGTGACAATGAAATTGCAACCGTTGCACCTAATTTCCAGTTGTCCGTCGCCGTAGCCGCTGCCTGCAATTCCGGGGCGGCTAACTTTGTGTCAGGTATTTTCCATGGTCCCTCTGTGGCTTCACATACCTGGTGCCGCTGTAACCGTTAGGAAGACCACATGTTGTCCAAGGGACCTGAACTATAGCCGGGCAAGCAGGGCATCGCAGCTCCTTGATGTCGGTATCATCCTGGTTCTTCCAGGCGGCATCTGTTCGTGCGGTCCAATTTGCAAGCCGATCTCCGGTGGAGGTCCAGTTGAACTGGCTGTCAATAGCCTTGTTGACTACATCCCAAGGCATGCCGCCTGCCCAAATGGAGTCGTGTCCATAACGGAGACAATCCTGATCTCGAGGTCAGCAGTCGATCGTGGTTAGTTGAAATGATAAGGGAACCACAAACCTCGAAGTAAAGCCTCGGATTCAGCATGTGTGCGTGCCATACCATCAAGACGTCTGCAATACTCCGTTATTACATTGAGTTCCTACAACCACGGTCAAGATCAAAACCAGCTCACCTAGTGGCGGCAACATTTCCTCCGTCCACTTCATTGGTTTTGCCTCTTGAACAAATCCAACATATCTTGACGTTCTTCCAACCCCACCAGGGGTTACGAGATCCGCTTCGAGAAGCATGTCCGGCACAAAACTCTGCCACCACGCCCCATATCGGTCAACAGCCCGGGCCACATACAGGGCCCATCGTTTCTCTCGTAGCGCAGCCAGAACCTGCGCACTTCCCTTGGCTCGCTCGTCCCAGATCTCCCACAGGCCGTCTGTGTAGCCCACATCGTTCTTGAGCACCTGGAACGCGAACAGTAGGCGCAGATGCGCGAGACAGGCATCAGACGTGGGTTTCTCAGCAGCGGCACCGCTCAGATTGAGTTCACCAAGAGCCGGTGCCAGGTCCACGGCGATAGCAGAGGGGGTAGCATCGTTTCTGAGCTCGGCACTGTAGGCAGGGGGTGCTTCGGTGTTGTCGGTCGGTGGTTTGGTGGTAGCAGCTCGAAGATCGCGTTCGATCAAGCGGGCTTTCTCGCTTACTTTTCCTAGGAAAGAGACCATGATGAGAGTTCTAAAGTTGGAGCAGCCAAGCAAAAATGAAAAAGCTTGTTTGGTGGGGTGGTCCAGTGTACGAGACTGAAACGTCGACCGATGACCGACACAATATATAGGTGGTGCTGAACATGAAGCAAATAAACGGATTGCGGATAGCCACGAGGGAGAGACGTCACCGCGGGGAAAGCCCAATCAATCTGTGCGGCTGCCGACGCGCGGGCCAACGCGCGGGCGGCACAGCACGACATTGCGCTTGTTCGATGATTTGAGGCCCAGATTTGATTAAAAGCATTGAGGCGCAGTCCCGTGGGTATTGAAGCAACACTGCATTCGGGCGTGTCCAGCGTGGCGAAGCTCGCTGTGGGATTCCCAACCCTGGACTCAATTGCCATCATGAAAGAGGGGTTGCGCTGCAAATGGATTCTTCCACGGCGCCGGGTTCCGGAGCTTCGGGCCACGACCCCGGGACTGGTCCGGCCGTCCTTCCAGCCCCGCATGGAGGGCCACGTACCGCGGAGCTGGGGCGCTCTGCTTGCTTTCAATGAGTGCACTGCCTCAAGCCACGCGATTGAGGGTGGCAACGTCAGCATGTGTCTCAAAGGGCGCCCAATCCGTTGTACTGAAGTTTGCCTACCGATCCCTTAAGCCTGCTGATTGTAAATGCAGATGTGTCAAGGTGTGGGCTCATCTAGATTCAAGCGTCGTATACGTGCGCGTAAGAACCCTTAGAGCCTCTTGCTCATGACATCCTCGGTAACAAGTCAATTTCTATCCTCGCCGTTGATGGTTGCATCCTAACTTTGGGACCCATAGAGATCTCAATCGGGGAGGCTTAGCATAATCATGGCTTGGGCAGTGCGCGATGAAACGAGGCAACGTGAGCTAATAAATAAATTCATTGATACAGTGGCCAAGTATCTTGGGAAAGTAATCTCTTTTCATCTTAAATACTATTGGTTTGCTAGCTCCTCTCGATCTAACACCAAAATTCACAAGTGGAACTACAAAGCCAGACTTCACTAGAAGGTTTGGGGATGATAAGTGACCATGACCCCTAAAGGACTTGTCAGAGTCGCGATTCGTGGCTCATCAGCGTAATTACAATGGGTTTTCGTTGCTCAGTGGACGATGATCTCCAACTTTCCATTATCCATGCCAACTGCTCTGGCTTCTGACGCCTTCCCGCTGTCCAATAAGCCGCTTAGCATACGCATTCATGACGGATGTCGTGGCTGAGACCTCAAACGTGGTTCCAACACCGAAACTGTTAGCACGGCGTCATCTGAACCCCATCTAGGGTAAGATGCAAGCCATTCCTGGTCAAATTCGTTCGTGATGGGTCGGAGGAGCGTCTCCCGCACCATTTGTCTCCTTCTGTGTCGCAGCGCTTTCATCGTTCAGAGCTGTGCCGCTGTCATGGCCGTTGGTGGCAGCCGCCTGTGCTTCCATATCCAGCCCAGCTTCTCTGCGAATCCGGGCCATCTCCTCCGTCGAAGGAGCCACCCACTTTGCGCTTTTCTTGGGGTCGACGCCCTCTAGATACATTGTGTCAATCTCCTCCAGTGTACGTCCCTGGCCCTCCACGACGAAGAAGTAAACGATCAACGCGCCGACAAAATTGCACGCCGCAAACACGTATCCGTAGCGGAAGTCGATTTCGGCAGTAATGAAGGGAGTAGCGAACGCGATGGCAAAATTCCAAATCCAGTTACTGGCCGTCGAGAGCGCCATGCCCTTGGCGCGGTACCGCGATGGGAAGATTTCGGCCATAATGGTCCAAACCATGGGGCCCCAGGTCGTTGCGAAACCGAGGATGAAGAAACATGCGAAGACGATGAGGGCGATGCCCGCACTGCGCGTGTTCTCGGGGTTTTCACGATCGAGCTCGAAGTGACCCACGGAAGCGAAGATAAGGAAGCAAACGAACATCCAGATGGAGCCTGCAATGAGGGACTTGCGGCGGCCGTAGTGCTCAACGAGGTATAGACCGATGAAAGTGACCACAAAGTTGATCGTGTTGAGAATGATCTGGGTGACGTAGCTGTTGATACTGACCGACCGGAAGATGGTGGTGCCATAGTAGAAGAAATAATTAGCGCCCGTGAGTTGTTGGAACATCTGTAGAGCAATACCGAGCGCGAGACGGTAAGCCATGCGCGGTGCTTGCAGCATTTGGACGAATTCCGTGATGACGTTACCCTTGATGGTGCTTTCGGCGCGGAACTTGCTTTCGATCTCTTCCATTTGCGTGTGGATGCTCCAATGGTTGGTCGTCGCGCCATACACCTTGCACAGCGTCTCACGTGCTCGCTCGACATGGCCGCTGCGATAGTCGTAGCGAGGCGTCTCGGGGAAGAAGAGGATACCGACGCCAAGGACGATGGTCCAGATCCAACCGAGGCCGATCACAATACGCCAGGACGCAGTACTGTTGGGATAATCTTTCTCCGTGCCGTAGTTGATACACGCGGCCAGGAAGATGCCCATGGTGATGAAAAGCTGATATGTGCCAATCATGGCGCCACGGATCCAAGGCGGTGCCGTCTCAGCCTGGTACATCGGGACCAAGAGTGACAGTCCTCCAACTCCCAGGCCCGCCACCCAGCGACCCATCATTACCTGTTCCCATGTATCGTCTGCAGCGATCTGGACAATAAAGCCGATAGACGTAATGACGCACCAGAAAGAAATGGAGTATTTGCGGCCAACGCGATCGGCGATAGGGGCTCCGATCAAAGCGCCTATGAGCGTACCGATAGACAAGAGGGCGACGATCAGACCTGACCGCACGTTGCTGAAGTAGTATTCCCCGTCTGAGTTGATCTGACCAAAGCGCTCGAGGAAATCAGGCATCTCTAGAAAGCCCGAGATCTGACCAGTGTCGTAACCAAAGCTGGCACCAATATCAGTCAAGCTCACATTGGACGGTTGTATCTGACTACTCACATTAAGCCTCCCATAGACACCAGCATGGCGAGACCGAGGGAACGTCCCGATACTCGTGGAAGTGGTGAGTAGTCCAGTCCAGAAAGGGAACGGCGGACGTCTGTGCCTTTCTCATGATTTGGGTTGTGGCTATCAAAGTTTACAGTCATGAACTTGGCCATGTTGGGCGACTGGTGGGCTGGAATTTTGAAAGCCTGACACAGATGTTGAGGGTGATTTCGATGTGTAACGTATGTATATTTGATGAGTGGCTGGAAACTCATTTCGTGGGCTGCCGTGCATATTTGTAACCTCTGCTGCTCAGCTTACCATGACAAAAACATGAAGCCCGTGACGTCAATCTGTAAGACGGACACCGGGAACTCATCTCACTTGCCTCTGAGCGGCCTCTCCGGCAGGTGCTATGTTGACCACGAGACCCTTTGGATAGCCCCTTCATGGTCTCTTTCGGGCCGTCAGCTTGAGTCTAGAGTCTCCAACGATCCATTCAGGAGAAAAGCAACAAGCTTAAACGGCCCGACCTCACAACCTGGAGGTGGAGATATGGGGATGGTGGTACGACGTTGTAGCGTGTGGCAATGCTGCCGATTCGAGAACATGACGGGAATCCAGTCAGCGTTGGCCAGAGGCCCTACACCCACGTTCATTTGTTAACGTCTCGCGATGTGATAGGACGTAACAAGAAAGACATCGTCATAAGCCGCATTGTATATGCTGATCTGCCGGCATGCCCGCTGCTAGCGCCGCTTGCCGCTACGTGGAAGGCTTCCGGGTGTTCCGGACTTTGGTATGGGAAGCTGTCCATGAGACAAAAACGTTCTGACCACGCGACGACCTCGTGCACACAATGCGACCAGCAAACGACCTTTTGTCTGCTGTCTCGAATTGTGTCTTATCGATCTAGAGGTTGCTTCATCTGCGACAACAAGAGTCTTGGATCAGAGTTGGTTTCTCCAACCTTACTCGAGGCTTGCGCGGCGGCCAATTGAGCCCTGAGGTTGCCGACTAGGGGCGCCTCCCGAGTTCCTGGGACCAAGTGCCATCTCCGTTATTCCCGTGACCTGACGTGTTTGTCCGGCTCTCAACCCTGACTTGACGCGGGGCACCACATCGGGCGAGTAAGCTGCGGAGACTCCACGGAGGGTTTCCTCGTGGGGCCGACCCCAGACATACGGCGGCCGAGGGCCTTTCTCGGCGGCACTGAATCGTCTCGTGATGACATCAAAGTACTGCTCCTCGCGCCGGAAACAAAGAACGATCCGACCAGACGGATGTGCTTACGCATTACGCAGATGGTAACCTTGACCAGCCAACTGCGCGTGTTCCTTCGCGCTGCAGATTGACCTAACCTGCAGGGTTTGCTGACTCCGTCGAATTCAAGCCAGTGTTGTGCGCCATTGTGTCACATATGGCTTCATCGTGTCGTCCTCTGCGGTTGAGAAGAATGCCAATTGATTCTGATTGCAAGCAGTTTCTCAACGCTTTCGATAATTGATCTATTGACATTCTACTTTAATAGGTATTCGTCAGGTAAACTTCAGGCTGCAAATGATTACATGAAAGGAGCAGAGCGGCCCACGAGAATTCCTCGCCGCCTGAACGAGATGAGTGAGAAGAAGGCTGGCGCTCATGGGCTTAATTTTTTCCACTAATTGAGCGACCTATGTTCATTTGGAGCGTGGTAGCAAACCGATGTACCAAGGATGGACCAACACAAAGTAGGGTACAACTCTCAGCATATTGCGAACTTTCCCGCAGGCTGCAAACAAGTTTGAGCAACAACATGTTCGCCCACGAAATGGGTGATGAATCTTCAGATGTCTTGATTTGCCAATAAATGTCTACTGTACGCCTCGCTCTTATGACATTGAGTGATCTGCCTGAAGAATGATTCAGTAGTCATGATGGCCTTTTAGAACCCGCGGCAGCACCCGTAAAATACCTTAAGTTTGTTTCCTATACCATTCAACACATTTAAAAAAAATGCCTCCGGCTCCTGAATGGCCCATGCATCGGCTTGGCAACGTAGATTCCATGTTCACGGCCGACAAATCAAGTGTTGAACGCCACTTGCATGCCCGCTGCCAGCCTGACAAGAGCTAGAAAGTATGGACAACCCCTGTGAGCATCCACGCTATTGCTTCGACTCGCTACACCAGGCGACGAGGAACCATGAAGGGAATAGTGCACCGCGCACTCTGCGTCATGCCTGTTTCTCACCCCCCAAAAGCTACAAGTATGGAAAAAGGCAAGATAATCGAAGCTGCGATGACAAGGTGTGAGGATCTCGGCAGACAGCTTTGACCATCAACCAAAGAGTACCCTATCGGGCATTGACCACTGGATCCAGGCGGTAGAGATAAACGTCAGAGATACAATGACCACTCACTATCATCCATCCTGTTCACTAGATGTACTTGAGAAACTTAAGACAAAATTGGGTCCTGGGGAGTGAATTCACACTCAACACTTCATTTCTCAAATAGACTTTAAGATGTGTTTTTCCAATCCGTCAAGGTTGCTTGTGCCTTGGATGCCCTTTATGGATCGTTGCTGAACCTGGAGAGGTTCGTCACCAAGGTTTAACAGAATTTTACAATATCATCGGAGAAACCTGCAGTTCACGCATATAGTCCGCCTGCTTGACATCCTCTTTGACTGTCCAACCTCGGTTCGCTTACTACATCAGGTTCTTTTTGCAGTGTATCTCTCTCGCTTCTCATAGAACACCAGTATACGTCTTCGCATCGCGGGAAAAGATCACGGTCAGCCCCAAGGAACCCGGCCTAGTCAACAACAAGAAAGAAAAAGATGTCCCAAGCACAGGAGAAGGTCCCAGGCAGAGCCAGTCCTATCGAGACCCTCGACGAGGTCCTCAAGCTCTGGGCCCTCGCCGACAAAGCCATGAGCATCAGCGACGCGACCTCCGCTCCACGATCCCCTTACTCGGACCCGGGCTACCGCCTCCGCGACCCGGACCTCTTCGCCGACGACCTGGCAACGCGCCTCGCCCGGTTCGCCGTCTCCGAGACCATCGCCGCCGACCCGCGCGAAAGTGTGCAAACGGTTCTCGAGAGCACCTTCTCGCCCGCAGCCGGCGGACAGCGCACATCTGTTTCGACGCAGCCGACACCCGGCCTAACACGCTTCAACATAAAGCCGACGCGCGGCAGCCCGCCGCCATCACCGCCGCCTGGTTTCGGGTTCGGGTGCTCGCTGAAGCGCATGTCCCGTGCCAGCTTGGACCGGCTTCTTCTGTTGCCAGGCCGCCAGCCGTCGCGCGGTAGTGGCAGAGGCGGCGGCGGCGGGACGGCTGTCCTTGAGATGAGGGAGACCATTGCGCAGGGCCGGATCAGGGCTTCGGCCAAGGACGAAGGGCCGTGGCAGTCCCTGCATCAGGGCGGGGTCAGTCAAGGTGTCAGGTCAAGGTGGCCGGGTGGGAAAAGCTTTTGCCCGCTCTTGTTGGTCCTGCCCAGAGCCGCAGGTAGGGCGAAGAGGGAATGAAGCTCCGTGTTTTCGCCCGGGAGAGGAGGAGGAGCCGATCCGCGCACGGAACGTGAGGAGAGTCACCTGGAAGTAATGAGATGCCCCCGTTTCATTGCTGCTTCGAGTTATGGACTTTGGACATGGTACATGGGCTCTCCGAAGGTTGTGCATGCAATGGAATTGTTCGGAGAAATGGTCCCTGGAACTTGGAAGTGGATCAAAGGAACCAAGGAAAAGGGGGGAGGATGAAAAAAGGGAACATGAAGGTAGTATAAGAAGAATACGCTAGTCGTTGATTAAAAATCTTGCTTTAGTGTAAGATCAGTCCCAAAACCTGGTTCAGGGTCCTGTGGATCGGAACGAAGGCGTCGGTCGTCCTTAATGTGACATTGATATACCATCCACTGGGGATGGTTTGGGGCGAAGATCGTCGATGCTGGAGCCAGGGTTACCAACAGACAACTTGTCCGGAGAGCCTGGAAGAATCTTCGCATAGCGACCCTGTTCATGCCGCCGACCACCGACCACCCTCCACCACTCGAGACCAACCACTCGGAGGTCAGCGGCATCTCCACGCGCTGACGTCCTCGTCAGGCTCGTCTTCGGGATCGCTCTGCGGAAATTCGACGCCCGCACCATCGTCATAGAAGGTGCCCCTGCTCTCCTCCTCCCCATCGCCCATCATCCACTCGTCGCTGATGAAGGCTCGTCGAAGGTCCTGGCGTACGGCAAAGACCTCGCGAGTCTTGCCAAGGTAATCGACGTCGCCAAAGGAGCCGGGCTGCATCTCGCGGCCGTGGGCGCGGTAGTAGCGCTTGATGCGCGTCTGGCGGACCTTGGAGTCGACCTTTTTGGGGTCGTACAGGCGGTACATGACAGCCCTCGACAGGGCGATGCGGCTCATGCGTCCCGAGTCGACCGACTTGATAATGTCACGCCACTCGCGGTCGGGGTGCTGCTTGCCGGCCCATTTGCGATACTCCTCCTCGCCAAAGAGCTTGGAGAGGGCGGGCCGCCAGTCAAAGGAGGCTTCAAAACGGTCGTAGTCGACACGCAAGTTGGGCAGTTCCGTATCATTGGCAATGCGGCGCAATACGAGAATGTGCGGAGCCACGTCGTAGCGGTTGGCGGGCGGCGGGGCCAGGTAGGCGGTGACCTTTTCCCGCCACTGCTTGACGCATTCATCGTGCACCGTCGCGTCGCTGGCTATGAGCCTGCTGGTGCCATGCTGGGCCGGCCATGGCCTTGTCGGTGTAGATGCGCGGAGGCCATCGTCTGAAAAGACGATCAAAGTCGAGGGCAAAGTTGAGGTCGCGCGGCTGGCGGTGTTCGTCAGTGACGGGGTCAAAAGGCCAGAAACTCGAGGCGGCTGCGTCGGAGGGTGGCAGTTGGCAAAGACGCGTTCTGTGACTGTTTGGAAGAACCGAGACACGAGGCGCAAATTCAGCCAGACTCGTGGTATGTATCGAGAGTCGGTGATGCAGCCAATGATGTGCATCCAGATTTCGGGAGGGAGATAGGGAAGAGAGCGAGCACGAGTGGCTGTTGGCGGCAGGTCGGTCGTCATGGCGCGATGCGGCGGATGTCCATGTTTGGCTGACGGGTGTGGGCGGCAGCAGAAGTCTCGAGCAGCGGCCAGGCGCTTGTCCTTATACGATCTCGTAGGACGATGAGTTGGTGGTATTGGGGACTGTAACAGGCCATCGAGGGTGGGATGGAGAATGGAGGATGGAGGATGGAGGATGGAGGGGTCCAGCGACACGAGCAGACCAGGTGGATTCCAGTGCAACTCGAAGGGCGTCTTGGGTCGATTAAGGGGTGTGGACGAAGCATTCGCTAAGAGCAGGGGCCAAGAGACCCTGCAGGGCCCTGGTGTGGCTGTCTTGGGCGGTGCTCCACCGAAAAGACGTGAGCGCTTGGGGGTTGAATGTCTGGTTGATGCATGGAGATGAAATGCCTGGAGATGAGATGCCTGGAGATGCTTGAAGTAGAAATGCCCGAGTTGAAAAGCCTGAAGTTCAGAACCAGGTGGAGGGGGGGGTGGAAGGAGAGAGGGGAGAGCACCCTGACAGCCTGGTGCATCAAAGAAGGCAGGAGAGCAAAACAGGTGGGTGAGTGACACCTAGCTGGTGGCGCCCTCCTCATGCTAAGGTACCATGTGGGCAGCAGGTATGGGAGATAATTCCAAGGACGAAGTAGGTAGACTGACAATCAACAACACCGCAGTCATGATTTTCAGTGGTATATACTTCCAAAATTAAAATACGACCATGAAATGAAGTGTATTTTTGCACCTTGCATTGCACTTCGCCTTGATCACCCTTCACTCGAATAAATCGTGTCCCACGTCATGATCGAAAAATGGGGGCAAGGGGCAGCCTGCTCTGTCGTAGTAAGGCAGCGTTGCACATCATCCCCAGCCTCGAGACAATAGACCAAAGGTCGGCGGCGATTGACAGAAAACATCGATACCAAGTGCAGCCTCCCATCGGTATGCCACCCTTGAGACCGTTGCGGCAGATCACGCCCAGCTGCTGACACGTCCCGAATCCTGGGGAACACGCTTAGCTTCGTCTACGATGCCGTCAGGTCCAACGGCAATAATCCGCTGCCCCTGATCTTCGTCGCAAAGACCAATCCATACCCGAGGCTGTGACCCGGCCGGGTTACGGCAGAAGGGAAAGAGAGTCAGACATTCCAATGCATTCCACCCAAGCATCGATCGAGGAGTTCCTGCTGTCGGCACGTGCTTGACCCCCCGCAAGCGGACGCCCCAACGACGTCATCACCTCGGAGCTTCTGGTCCAGCCCGCCCAGAGTCTGGAACAGACAGTGGAGCAGCTGAGGGAGCTCGGTGCGCTTTCTTGACGATAGCTCCAGCTCCGGCGCCGTAGCTCCTGCTGAAGCATGCAGCTCCTGCGTCATCCTGCAAACAGCTTCCCCAATGCCCCTGCTTTCACTGCTGATACTGCCGCGGCCGCTCCGCCAGACGTTAAGTTCGTCATCCGGCAAGCCTATTTCTTGCTCTTGCCTTCCCTTTTTCTCTGCCTTCCTCTTCCTTCATCTCAATCAAACCTCCTACGCAACCCAGTCATCCCTTGTCGTGCTTCTTCCTCCCTCCATCCTACACCTCTCACACCAACCAATCCACACACATCGACAACCACCGCCATCATGATGTCCGCACGCCCCGCCGTTCGTACCATTGTACCCCGGGCCACGCGCTCGGCACGCATGCCAGTCCGCCAGCAGACCCGCCTTCAGTCGACGACCGGCTCTTCCACATCATCATCAGGCGGTGCCGGAGCATCTCACTTCGGTGCTGGTGTCGCCGGCGGCATTGCTGGTGTTGCCCTCTTCTCCGCCATCTACTCCTTCACCCCCGCCGGCCGCACGGCGTCCAAGGTCAACAGCACACTAAAGGACGCCGAAAAGAAGTACACCGAAGCCACGAAGAAGCTGCAGGCCAACACGCCCTCGGCTGACGAGGCCGTCAACTACATCAAGGAGTTTGCCTACTCTTACGTCGGTTGGATTCCCGGCGGCCGCGCCTACGTCGACACGGCCTTTGACGACTGGGAGAAGGTCCGCAAGAACCACAAGGACGAAGCTGATGCCCTCGTCAACGATGCCTACAAGCAGTTCCAGGACCTCTCCAAGTCTGGCCTCAGCCTCGAGACAGCTTCCAAGGCCTACGATGTCGTCGCCGACCTGACGAAGAAGGTCGCCGAGCTCTCGGGTGACGCCATTTCGGACATCATCGACAACCACCCCAGGCTCAAGGAGAAGCTCGGCGGCAACGTCGACAAGCTCAAGGAGATGGGCGAGGCCTACGGTCCCGAGGCCAAGAAGCAGGTTGACCAGACATGGAAGGAGGTCAAGGACATCGTCTCGGGCGGTGTCAGCTTTGCGACCCTCGAGAAGGTCCGCAAACTCATTGAGGAGAAGGTCCAGCAGGTCAAGAAGCTCGGCGACGAGGCGTGGAAGAAGGCTCTGGAGGAGGCGAAACCCATTCTCGACAAGAACCCCAAGGTTAAGAAGCTCATCGAGGAGAACGCCGACGCGCTGAAGCAGGGCAACGCCAAGGAGCTCTTCGACAATGCCCGCAAGGCCGTCGACTCGGGCGATCTCGGCGACCTCGAGGGCTACGTCAAGGACGCCGTCGAACAGGGCAAGTCCAAGGCCGAGGAGGTCACGGGCGGCAGCTGGGGCAACCTCGAGAAGTACATCAAGATGGTGCCGCAGGGCGGCGACATCCTGCCCAAGCTGCAACAGCTCGGTGAGGTGGCGCAGAAGCACAAGGCCGAGGGCGAGAAGCTGTTCCAGGAGACAATCGAGGAGCTCAAGCAGGTGCTCGAAAAGAAGTCGCAAAAGGCAAAGGAGATTGCCGAAAAGGCCGAGAAGGAGGCCAAATGATTGTATTTACAAATGAATCGGCGTTGGGGACCCGGGCTGGATCTGTACGATACCATGGGGCACGCATTAAGCGACAGTGGATAATGCATTTGAAGTAACATGATCACAAATCTTTGCACACGAATATAACAATGTAACCAGCCCTAGATCGCAGTAGTCGTGATCTGGCGGTAGCCTGTCTCGCAACGAAGTGCTTGAATTCATTGTTATGACGATGGACCAACAGCCCAAAGGCTCGGCGCGGCCCCGTAACGCACATCGTCATGATGCCATGGGGTTCGCGGATGAAGATGGAGATACTGAGGTGGGCCGAAAACACGATGGAGACTTAAGCATGGGGTTTCTCGCGGAGCAGGTTCCGTCTGGGGCCCCTGCGCTAGTCGTTGGGCACTTTGTGTCAGTCATCATGAGATGGTAAGCCAGCCACAGCGACGGGGAGAGCAAGGTTTCATCACTCGGAGGCATCAAGAGCAGGATGCTTATGAGTCGCGACGCCCCCAATTGATCACTTGGATGTTTGTGAAACGCGTCAGAGTAGGGCCGATGGACCTCTCACTCACCGAGGTAGCTCAAGATGCCTTTGGATTGACGTGGGCAATCAGGAGACTGTGGCTTGCTACGGTAGTACACATACCCGGACGGCATTCATCGGCTCTAATGGCAGTCCATGGTGAGATGGCTATCATCTCCCAAGCCGGTCCCACTAACATCAATCGGCCAGGTGGTGGAGTGGTTAACACGTACCCCTGCTAAGGGTATCTCTCCGGAGGCGCAAGTTCGAATCTTGTCCTGGTCGAACCTTTTGATTTTTGCTTTTGGATTGCAGTGTTGGTAACTGCTCCATCACTTGATGATCCATGGTTCTCTTACTCTATTGGCACAGCGGCTCGTACACTGGGCTCGACTGTTGTGGCCCTGGTCGATCCCTCCAGCTACCTAGGTACATTGGGCTCGGTCTATGGTCGGTTTCTCATGTTCATCGTCGGGAGCATGGCAAATACTCAAGCATCTCACTGCCTCCTCCATGTATGTGTTTGGGGCGCCGAGGCTGCCATGCGCGGAACTAGAGCATGCCATGACCCGCCGACGGCGAACGTGACCCAACGGCCCAAGCCGCCGCGCCGGCAAGACGCGGCCCTCGACTAACACTGGGTTACAACGTCTCACTTCTGCTACACCCTATGAGCTGCCAACAACAGGCATACCTCACCCCTCACGTCTCGGCAGACCTACGCCACGAGCTTGCAGACATGGCAATGCGCGGCTTAAGCTGGTCGACCGGCCGCCTTGGTCTACCCCAGCCTGCTACCCCAGATCATCCACATCAGCCTTGAGCAAGCTCCTAGATGTTGTGCCAACTGCCTCTTTTACCACCCTGTGAATCCAATCTTATCCCACGTCGAATAAGTGAGAGCGTCCACCGTAGTCGGCCATCATCGTCATCATGTCCGAATACACTCTCTACACATACTTCCGCTCCTCCTCCTCGGCCCGCCTTCGCATAGCCCTCAACCATAAGCAGATCCCCCACACTCTCCACCCCGTCAACCTCCTCAAGAACGAACACCTCTCCGACGCCCATCGCGCCCTCAACCCCTCCGCCACCGTGCCCCTCCTCGTCCGCGAGCAACCGGACGCTCCCTCTTCCACGCCCCTCCGCATAACCCAGTCCCTCGCCGCCCTCGAGTACCTCGACGAAGCCCACCCCTCGGCCCCCCACCTCCTGCCCCGCGACGACGCCGACAGCAGGGCCGCCGCCCGCGCCCTGGCCGGCATCATCGCTAGCGACACCCAGCCCGTGACGAACCTGCGCATCGTGCGCCGCGTGCGCCCCCCTGGGCGGCGATGCGAGGCATGGATGCGCGAGCCCTTGGCCGACGGGTTCGCCGCCCTATGAGGCCGTCCGCCGCCGCCTCGGCAGGGCGGGGTTCCGTCGGCGACGAGCTCAGCCTTGCCGACTGCGGCCTTATGGCGGGCCCTCTGAATGCCGAGAAGTACGGCGGCGATCTGAGTCCGTACCCGACCATCTCCGAGTCAGGGCGAACCTGGGACGCTGCCGGCCGTGCCAAGCTGGGTATTACGGGCAGCCTGATTTGCCCGGTTGATTGGAGGGTGGAACAGGCGAGCGGTGTTTCTGTACACTTGAGAGCAATTCAGTGAAAAGAGAACGATCAAGTCCGTCGTCAATTGTGATCCAGAAGGGCTGCTTTGAGAATTTCAATGCTAGCGTGTGTATCTGCTCAAAAACAGCGGCAGCGCCGCCTCGATCGTGCCGCTGACCTCCTCCGAACCGACGAGCGCGCCCTCCTTGCCTGCCCAGCCGCGGATGACGAGCGTGTCGCCGTCTCGAGGAACTTCCTTTCCTCGCCGCCCTCGAGCCGGATCGCCACCTTGCCGCCCTGCGTCTGCTCGAGGATGCTGCCCTCCGTGCCCGCGTCGGGGCCCGAGATGGTGCCCGAGCCGAGGAGGTCGCCCGTGCGGAGGTTGCAGCCCGTGATGGTGTGGTGGGCGATCATCTGGGGCCACGACCAGAGCAGGTTGCGCGAGTTGGTCCTGCTGATGGTCGTCTTGTGGCCGGCGGAAGCTGTCTCTGTCAGCGCGCGTCCCGCGCCGGCGGCGCGATCCGAAGCGTGCACACTTACTGATGAGGTCGACCTCGAGGTCAATGCCCAGGACGTTGTCCTCCCTGCCTTCGCGAAGGTAGGGGAGCAAGTCTGTGTCGTTCTTGATGCCCTGCACCTTGCTGCCGTCGAGCGCATCGGCCAGCACGACCCAGGCGCTGATGCTGGTGCCGAGGTTCTTCGCCGTAAAGGGGCCAAGAGGCACGTACTCCCAGGCCTGCACGTCACGCGCGCTCCAGTCGTTCATGAGGACGTAGCCAAAGACATGCTCTTCTGCCTTGCCCACGGGAACAGGCTCGCCAAGGGTGTTTTCGCGACAGATGAACATGCCAAGCTCGAGCTCTAGGTCGAGCTTGCGGCACGGCTCGAGGGCGGGGATCTTGGGTTCGGCCTTTGGGTCGAGCAGAATCTGTCCCCATGGCCGGCGGATTGGCGTGCCGGAGACGACAACACTGGAGGCGCGGCCGTGGTAGGCAACGGGAAGATGAGTGTAGTTGGGCTGGAAGGCATTGGCAGGGCCCCGGAAGAGAACGCCGACGTTGTACGCGTGATGCTTGCCGGCGTAAAAGTCGGTATAGTCGCCAATCGACAGAGGCAGGTGTGTTTGGACGCTAGACAGAGGGAGCAGCGCAGACTCGCGCAAAGAGGCATTGTCCTTCAGAAGGGCAGCATGCTGTGTGTCCTCGGCGAAGATGGACTGAATGTAGGTCCTGACCTCGCGATGGAAAGGTCGGCCCAGCGCCGCAAAGGTGTTTAGCGTCGGCGATGAGAACACATGAGCCTGCTTTTTTATCGTCGCTGAGCCAGAGAAGCCGTCGGCAGCAGCAAATGCCGCAAGATCGAGCGCATAGTCACCAATGGCAATGGCTGTACGGTGCGTCGAGTCGGACTCTGTAGAGATGACGCCGAAGGGGATGTTGGCCAGCGAGAAGTGGCTCGCCGGCGAGATGGTAAGCCACGAGGTTTGAGACGTCATGGTGGCAATGTGGTGTTGTGGTAGGTATCGGCGGTAAACTGTCAAGGGAATGTACCTTTTCGCGAACAACCGTCGACATGTATGATTAAAAAAACGTGGACGCGTGTGCCAGGTCAAATGAACATTGTCGAGAGCAGTGCTGATTTCATTCAGGAAGGTCTACCATTGCAGGCTGCTGACATGTACACTCAATCCCGCTGCAAGCCGAGCGGCAAGTGGAGGGGTCGCGCGGAATGAGGTCAAGTGAGGGGCAGGGTTGCGACACAGAGTTGCGAACTTTGTGGGGGGCCGAAGGCGGGCGTCAAGGCCGAGTCTAGGCGCCGGCCGGCCTGTTCCGCTGATGCTGCTTTTGTAACGACAATACTTCATCGACCAGAGGGTGCCCCGTTGGCTTACCGCGGAAGAAGATTTTGACCTGCTGTTGTGCCAAACATTTCGGGTCGCCACCATGATCGACGTTTCGTTGTTTCGTTATGCGCGGTGCCGTTCCGAGTTGCTGTTGCTGTTGTGTCGCCTTCCGAGTGTTCAGCCCTGACACTAGGATCCTTCCCAGATACATCGCTTGCTTTAGCTTCTTGACTCGTCCCAGCCGTCGCTGCCTGTCTTCCACGCTCCTCCATCCGGCGGCTGCGCCGGGCGTCTCTCACCTGGTCTTTCAGCTTGCTAGTCACGGATACGGCGTGTTTGTAAACGCTGTCACTAGTGAGTCCCATATCCAGCCAGCTGTTATATATTGGCGTTTTCGTGACGATGCCAAACCAAGAAACATGCCAGATGGACCACAAAAACGTCCGGATCCACGTGCTGAAGGCGATCGCAAGCGTGATAGTGATGATGACGATGGAAATGGGAACTGTAGCTTTGTTAGCATACTGGCCACGAATTCGGGCAGGTCGTGACTTGCACATGACGGCAAATTCTTCGGCAAGCCTGAGACTTCCATCAGCTCCGAGCTCCATTGCATTCATCCCGAAGATGGCTGCTGTGAAGGTTAACGGGAGCTGCAAACTTTTAGCTGTGGCTACTGGCGCAAAAGCTCCACGGTCGTTGTGACGTACGAACACGATTGTCACGACAGTGAACAGCATGATTGATCGGCCTTGTCTGACGGTTTCCTCGGACTGCTTCAGAGACATCCAGGCCTGAACCACACCAGCTTGTTGTTGTTTTAGGGCAAGAAGTCCCTTCACCTGTGAGATGTTATTATGCGGTTCCAGTGCACCGAGGCAAAGTGATCAGCTCACGCCTTCGCAAGTGCTCATGGCACTGTCCCGCAATTGCTCCAGCTCTTTGATGCGCCACTTGATCTTCGTCTGCACCTCTTTGGCATTCAATTCGAAGAATCGAAAAATATGCTGTCTTGCTTCTGGATTGTTGTACACAGCTGGCGGGCGAGCCTGCATGGCGTTGGGCGTTGGCGATGTCGTATTTTGGCCCGGTGTTGCTCCCGATGTATCGAACAAGCTGTCGCCGTTCAGCATGTGCTTCACATGGTTGATGAAACTTTCCAGGACGAAAAGGTGTGATCTGACGACATAGATCATGATCTCGAGCTCTTCTTTGATATCTTCGATCTCTCTATGTAAGGCAGCCTCTGGGTTGATGTCGAGCAATGGTACGTGAAGTTCTGACATCTCAATATTCCCCGGACGTCGGTAAATTTTGCTGGCGTTATTCGTCCACTTATAAAGTCTTTCGAATGCAGCTGTCTCATCTCTCGACTGCAGTGCGTCAACGCATGTCTCCGCGAAAAGCCCTCATTGACTTACCACATTGCCAATTGCTTCTGAGAACTGGTCAATGACCTGTGGTTGCCGGTCATTCTTCCGCGCGCGATCGAAGAACGTATTGGAGCATTCATCAATGACCAGCAATCCAAGGTCGAATACTGATCGAATTTGGTTGGGACGAGCTCTGTCAAGCTTTGTGCGGATTGCTTTGTGTACACCAGAGTGGTCGTATTTTTGGGTGCCATAACGTTTTGGAAAGGAGGTTATGATTGTCTTCTCATCCAATATCCACATCCAAAGCTGGTCAACCATTATGACGCGAGAGACCTTTCGGATCCCTGCTGTGCGGCTGCGGCAAGGCGTTTCCACCAGCCCCTTGTGTTCAAGCCAGCCGCCATTAACGAATGTGTGAAAGTCTTGCGCTTTTGCCGTCGTTGCACGATATACGACCTGGTCACGGTCGCGACTCTTGCTGGTGTTTAAGGTCCAGTAGTAGGCCTGGTCGAGGGTCCGCCTGGGATGAAGTGGGGGATCGAAATATAGGTATTTCTTCAACAAGTTCCTGTCCCGACAAGTCGACATGGCCTCGTAGAGCCTAGCAGCATCCAGGAGCAATTGACCTAACTTTCTCTTCGGGTTTTCGTCTGATATGGTGACACGCCCATTCTTTTCGATTCTGAGTCCCTTTTGAACACGGGCAGAATTTGAACCATCGGCGACCGACCCTATGGTTTGGTTCCTTTTGGGCCGAATACTTGGTACAGTACTCGGGGGAAGGCTAGGAAGATCAGGGTGAATGGCCTCTCTAGCTTTAATACGCTTTTCCCTCCTTTTTTGTTCTTTTTGCTGGCGATTCTCGAACCACTCGTCAGCAAGGATGTCCATTTCTAGCGCAAATTTGTTGCGCAACCTGTCAGTCTCCCAGTGAAGATACGGCATCTTAATTTCGGGTTAGCAGCAAATCATGATAAGGATTATTCAGGGTCAGCATACAAATAACACCATATTTCTTGGTGTTTGGCTCATGGAATTCGGATCTGGTTACGTTAGGGTCAACCACAGTATGAAGAATGACAGAGTCACAAACTAGAAGAAACAGCTTCACACATAGGCCGCATATGGCGAGAATGGGGTGCTGAGCCTGCAGACCCATGCATTTGCCCTCGCCAGTACTGTGGCCTCAACATCATGTATGTGTCAGTCTTGTACGGCTCTTGTAGCTCACGGTTGACGCTGTCGAAGTTGGGAGGGTCCTGGCCGTAGTACAAACCAAGCGCTCGCTAGCCCTGTTAGAGTAGCCCAGTAACTGCAGACAAGACCCTTGCGGAAGGACAAATACCTCAATCCACTACACATATGATTAGTTTGACAGCGGGTGCTAAAAGCACAGCAAGGGACCACTTGCGCTCATATTGTTCGCAGGAAAGTGCACGTATGAAAGAGACTCCGTCAATCGCAGCTCCGAGAGCCGATTAGGTGTTTCCTCATACTTCTTCGCGAGTTTCAGAATAGTCGCCACATTCGTAGTTTCGAGTTCCTTTTTCAACTTCGAGACTTTCGCCGGTGGTTGATCATTACTCTCACATCCCCTGGCTTCGAATTCATCCTTGGGAATGCTCTCCGAATCTTCATAGAGGATGATGTGGACATTGAGATCTTCCTCGGGATCATAATTTTCCTCCGCCGGTTCCGAAGCTGGCGTTTGAGCCTGTGCTGTATTGTTTCTTACTTCTCCTTCGTCGCTGCGGTCCACCGATGCCGATGCTGGCGTGGAAGATTGGTCTGTCATAGGCGGAGGGTTGGGTGGAGGGTAACATGGCGGGGGATTGATGCCGGAACGTGCGATGAGCTCGACACCTTTCTCGTACTCATCTGAAGCTCTCCAATTCCTTAGGCTCTCTTGGAAGTTGTGCACGACGTGCTTTTCGTCTTGGGATCTAGCCAGCGCCTTTCGGATGTGGTCGAACCGCTCCAGATTCCGGACGCATTCGTTCTTCCACTTACTCATTTTCTCTTCAACGCGGCTCTTCACAGGTGATCTCTGGTCCATTGTGGCTCATTGTCTTTGAGTCGATTCCGCTTGCGCTCGCGCTCGCGCTCACGCTCGAATTCTTTCTCCCACACATAATGGCCCACGTCGAAGAAGGCTGCTCGTTCGCCCACTTTGATGCAGCCCAAGTAATGCAGCATGTGGTTGCTGATGTTATCATCGTGTTGTTCAGAGCTGAGACAAGTTGTTTGTGGATAGTCACACATGGCTTTCCTGAAGAGGCCGATTGGAGCATGAAAAGACGTTGATCAAACTGAATCACGTTCTCCGGGTACGCCAGGGTAGCGTAGGGCCTGGTTAAATAGGCGATTCGGGGCGGGATGCGGCTCAACTCGACAAGAATGCTACGACGACTGACGGCATGCGGCCTTGGGGTTGGCTTTGGGGCGCAGCCTCGTCCCGAACAGAACAGGTTCGAACAGGTTCGCCAAGAACAGTCATAACCAGGGGGTTGCGAGGCATGCAAGCCCCTCAGTAGACAGGCAAAAGGTTCAGCCCATTCTGCTCTTGCGCATGAAAAGAGCACCGAGGGAGCAGGAGTTGGACCAACAGGAAGCGAGCTGTAGGAGGCATTTACAGCCAAACAAGGTAGAACGGCACCATGTTCCAAGGCTCGGCCGTAAAAACAAGTTGGTGGTCAGCAATGAACTTATCCCACAGATGATGATCGGGCCCGACTTGACTGTCAGTACAAGGGCAGGTGCAGAATGCTTATCGACAACGCAAGGCTGTAGCACTGGCGTCCGTATAGGGTGTCGTACGCGCGAAGGATCAGCAAACAGTTAACTATTCCCGGTGGTGCATGATGCGCGTGGCCGTATTGGGACGCCTTGGCTACGCTTCTCCTGAGGTGATCAGGCTGCTCAGTTGAACCGAACACGCGAGGCTGGCGGAAGCTGACCAATGTGGCTTGCGATGAGTCCGACGTGAAACGTGACGAGTCGATTTGAGGGTAAGCAAGATCTCGATGGCGGACAAGTGATTTTGCAATAATCGCGTGCCGACAAGAAAGGGTTCACAAATGAGAATGGGGGCCATGGAGCCGCGCTGAGTCGAAGCCTGCGGACGCTGTCGTGTCCTCGGAATCCGTATTTGAAGACAAGATTCTCATGAGAAACTTCACTTCTGTTGCTCATGGCAGCACTGTAATCGACTCTTGGTCGCTACTGCGTTCAGCTGCGATGATCCTGTTGTCTACGATCACGGTACCCAGGTACCCTAGCTTCAAGGCAGATGGCTTGTTCCTGAGGTGGTCAGAGCTCCCACCCGGCCCGGCCCAAGTCCCGACTCCGCTGCCACTGGACCCTCCTCCCTGCGCCCCCTCCTCCCTGCCAAGCCTGCCTACCCACCACCATTTACCATTTCCCCCCTCCTCTGCTGCCCCTCCTCCAGACGATTCCCCAGCAACTATCGCCTGGAGATATTGAAAGCACACCCGCATCTGGACAGACCCATTTATTCAACAGAAATTCGAACTTCATCGAGTTGGCAATCCTGATGCCCTGAGAGGAAACAGAAACAATTTCCGGAGGGCAACGCTCCTAACATGGCTACTGCCCCCCACGCCGGGACCCTCACGTGATACTGGAATAGCCTCAACAACCCGACAGTACCCGTCCCCCAGCGACCATCCCACCCAAGAGATCCAATCGCAGCATCGGCAGACGCAACGATTGCGATGCCAATCCCACGCTCCCAGCCTCAGGGTGCGCTAGCGCCTCGCCTGTCATTTCAACACCTCCGGTACGGATGGACACAACGCGGGCATAACCCAGAAAGCCTCTGAGTGCAAGGCCTGGACCGATCAAAGAACCCAGGGAATGAAGGCTGAAATGCTCCCAAGCAAGCGACCAGGGGAGCTCGACGCGCCAAGCGATGCCACGATCCGCGCTGAAAATTATTTCGCTCGACATCATTCTTTCCTGGGCGCCGCGCCTGACCAACTCAAAAAATCTGTCATGCCCATGCCACATGCCGTTTGACTCAACGTCTCAAACATTTCTCCTCATTCGCACCCACCGACCGTGTCATGGCTGACGAAAAACGTATTGAAGAGTCCAATGCGGTCGCGCCGGCTTCCGCTGCCGTCGCCGACCCCACGCCGGCAGATGTTGAGACCGCCAGGGCCATGCCCCCGACTGCCGATGTTAGCGGCGCAACCAAAATTCGGGGTGGCGATGAAGCTCTCGCCATGGTTGGCGAGCAGCAGCATAGCTATGATCCAGCCGTTGCGGCGCGTGCTGTGCGTAAGATTGATTGGTTTCTCATGCCTGCCATGATCTTTGGCTGTAAGTCGAGTCGCTTCACCCGCACAACATGATTCATTATCCAGCAGCCCATACTCACAAATGATAGATGGACTCGTCTACTACGACAAGGCCATCTTGGGATCGGCTGTCCTGTTTGGCATGACAAAGGACCTCAAGCTCTCGATTGTCGTCGACGCCACCACGACACCTCCCACCATGGACACGACTCGCATGTCTTGGGCGACCTCGCTCTTCTACTTTGGCATGCTCGGTGGCCTGTACCCCATGACATATGCCCTTCAGCGCTTCGACATTGGTCGCATCCTCGGAGGCATCGTCATTCTCTGGGCTGGCATCTGCATGCTGACGGCGGCCGTCGTCGATTACAAAGGTCTCTACGTCCAGCGCTTCTTCCTTGGCTTTGTCGAGTCTATCATCCCCACGGGCTTCATGTGCATCGTCTCTGGCTACTACACGCAAAAGGAACAATCCATGCGCCAGAGCTGGTGGTTTTCCTCCACTGGTCTGTTCACCATTCTCGGCGGTGCCCTCAACTACGGCTTTGCCCAGATCACTGGTGGGGCACTCACCCGATGGCAGTACATCTACCTCCTCGCGGGATGCCTCACGTTCCTCTTTGGCATCTTCTGCTTCTTCATGCCCAACTCACCTGTCAATGCCTGGTTTCTGACGCCAGAGGAGCGATTCGCTGCCGTCGAGCGCCTCCGCTACGGCCAGACCGGTGTTCGCTGCACGACCTTCAAGTTCTCCCAGGTCAAGGAGGCCATCCTCGACATTAAGGTCTGGCTCGTGGCCATCATGATGGCGTCAGTCTACACCATGAACGGCGCTGTCTCGGGCTTCGGTCCTCTCATCGTTTCTACGTTCGGCTGGACGGCCCGCGAGTCCATCTTGTTCCAGTTCCCCGCTCGGGCCCTCTGCTTCATCGTCATTCTCGCCACGGCTTCGGGGGCTCCGCGCTTCCCCAACATTCGCATCTTCATGCTCATCGCT